ATGTAAAAAGATACCACGATATGAACTGAGGGGGTCGAGAATAAACAAAGTCTCAAAAGTTGGTAGATCTAAATAATAGATATCCCGAAGCTCAGAAAATGATGGATCACCGCTAAATTGGAACTGGGCATGCCATAAGATTCGTCCAGACTTGGCGGACAGTGGAGCAACGCTCTGGGCGCCACCGCCTGTCAAGGCAGAATCCAAACGGCCACCTGTCCTAATCAAAATCTCTGGGGAGAATCATTTTGAGATGGAAGAAAAAAACTTATTGTCAAATCAAATATAACCTAGTAACAAGATCTTTCCATCATATGTTAGTCCACCAACAATAGTTGATATATTATGGTGATCTTCTTAGCGCCGTGAGGTCACAGAGGTAGGGAAAGAATCAAGGCAACAAAATCAGAATTTTTGTTCAGTTGCCATCTGTTAAAGCGGCAAGAGGATAGCGCGTCGTACGTGGAGTGACCGAGGGTAGTCGATGACGATGATTGGATTAATATGGGACGGATGGACTATCAGCTGCAGGAGGAGCGCGGACTGGCAAACCCAGCGCCTGCAACCATGGCGCCGCGGAGGATAAAGCAAGGGTGTTGGAGCCAGTCAGGGGCTCATATAGAGAGATTAGCGGAGTACGTCGGGCGAATGAAAGTCAGTATAGATATTGTGCAGTTTTGATTGGCCCGCAACGTGGTTTCCCAGAGCCGCTAGCGGGCAATGAAGCCAAGGTTGAAGGGAGAAAACTCACGCTGCTTTTACCGCCACCGGCGGCCCAGCCTCCCCTGACCGGACTGTGACTCAGCACTATATAAAGACCCAACCTCCCCCCATTTTACCTTGGGAATTTTGTCTCGGTCTTGGCGGATCTTATTTCGGAAATTCTTCTACCCGCTCACCTCCCAAAAAAAGCCTCATCATATCTGCCGGCTTTCTCTTACTAATCAGATCTATCTCAGATCTTTGATTATCCTCTGGACCCTTGATTTGAATTTTTCTGAGGGGAAAAATAAAAGGGTTTTTTGTCCACGGACCTAAAACACCCTAGAAGTTTGAGGCCTCAGGTTTCACTTCCATCACTCTCTCTTTTTTTCCAGATTCGCGCAGATAGACAATCCCATTTTACAAAAAGCAGCGCAAAAGAAAACATTTCGAAAGAAAAAAAAAATTGCCATAATATCGCCGTCGTGACTATCTAAGAAAAACACTTCAGTGTGATTTTTCTTGAGTCGTTCACAGTCGACTGCGTTGGTTTCGTTGCATATACTATCTCGTGAATTCACGAGAAGGTTACGTGCGAATACCTCGTAGGGGGATACATTGAGTTGTCCATCTCCCAGGTAAGCCCTTCCTTTTTCGTCCATCGCGCCTTCCTTCTGTTTTATTCCCATCGCACCTTCCTTTCCTAGGTGTTCCTTCCTTTTTTGGGAATCCTTTTTTTTTTGCGCCGCCTTCCCTCTCATCTTTGACGCGTCTGCCCCCTCCAATTCTTCTCCTTTCTCCTCTCCGCCTCACACAACGCGTCTTTTCGCGACTCAAGCTCACGTGCTCTTCATAGTTCCATTTTTACCCACAACTCGAGTCTTCCATCATGGATTCTCTTACTACCCACCCTTCCAATGCGCAGCAGGCACGTGCCTTCACTGCCACTTCGTCGCTGTCTTTCCCTGGTGGCGCTGGAGACCTGACCCCTCCCAACTCCGAGAAGGAGATCTTGGCCCAAGGCGGAAATGGTATTCAGGCTGGAGGAAATGCCATGCATGGCACCGGGGTGACTCCCGCTTCTCCTGCTACCCCTGCTGCCACCCCTGGCGCGACCACGGGAAGCAGCGGCATCGTTCCAACCTTGCAGTGAGTATACTCTGGATGTTTTTCTGGGTGACCAGAATGGCTGAACTAGTTATTCCTAAAGGAACATCGTTGCCACTGTCAACCTTGACTGCCGGCTTGATCTGAAGACCATTGCGCTGCACGCGCGTAACGCCGAGTACAACCCAAAGGTATCTATTATCCCATTTCTCACATTGCCCTGAAAGGGTTCACATCAGGGTACAATGTGACTGAACTTTGTTCTTAGCGTTTCGCTGCCGTTATCATGCGTATTCGTGAACCCAAGACTACTGCACTTATCTTCGCCTCCGGCAAGATGGTCGTCACCGGTGCCAAGTCCGAGGACGATTCGAAGTTGGCTTCCCGCAAGTATGCCCGTATTATCCAGAAGCTTGGCTTCAATGCCAAGTTCACCGATTTCAAGATCCAGAACATCGTCGGCTCCTGCGATATCAAGTTCCCCATCCGTCTGGAGGGGTTGGCCTCTCGTCACCACAACTTCAGCTCCTACGAGCCTGAGTTGTTCCCTGGTTTGATCTATCGCATGATGAAGCCCAAGATCGTTCTCTTGATCTTCGTCAGTGGCAAGATTGTCCTGACTGGTGCTAAAGTCCGCGAGGAGATCTACCAGGCTTTCGAGCTGATCTACCCTGTGCTTTCTGGTATGTTTTCTTCCTGGGTTCATGGCCATCAAACCTTTACTAACTTGTATTCCTAGATTTCCGTAAGGTCTAAAGAAAGCCCAAGAGGAGATCACTCATGCATTCCCCACTTGTATTAACATTGCTTTTTCCCTGAGAACTGTCGGCTTCGACAACTCATTTTTCCTTCGGTTCTTACGACTCTTTTCATGCAAGCATAGTTGGGCGTTTTTAGCGATTCGGATGATCCCCGGTTTTCTCACTTTCGCGTTCTTCACAATTAGATTGCTGCACACCGCAGGGAGGCGGTTGTGCGCCGGTCGATAACTGCCTCGATTTAATCACTTATCGTTCTACGGTTTCATCTGTGGAGGATTACTTTTATTCCCACAGGCCAAAAAAAAAATTAATGGTGACCAGGCAGTCTGTTACATTTCCGTCCTTGCTTTCCCCATCTGGGGTTGATGGATCGGCTTTTACTGTACTACCTTTTGAGTAGTCAAATGAAACTCTTGAAACAAAATTGTCTATGCTCGAGTAGATGTAGTTCGTAGCTCTCAATTCTTGACACTTGCTCGTGCTTGGTCTTGTATAAAGGTCTAGTATAAATGCTTTTGTACTTCTAATCTATATACATCACACCAAGGAATACATGCCTAAAGCACACTGCTGCGCAAAGCCTTCTTTGTCTTCGCCAACTCGTCTTTCAGAATCGCTCTCCTCTCCCCAGACCGACTACCATCGCCATCAAAGTCCTCTTCATCCGACACAGCAGTCTCCGGCCACTTCCACATCTTACTCAACTCGGAATCAAGGGTGCCCTCTAGCGCATCCACGATCTTGTCGCCAATAACAGGGAAGAACTTGAATCCATGGCCACTACCGCCGGTGGCAAGGAAAAGACCTTCATGATCAGGATGATAATCAACAATGAAGTCACCCGTGGGTCTGTTAAGCAATATTAGCACCAAACCCCAGCTGGCAACAAAAGGACCAAACTCACGTATCAGTATACCAACAAACCCTCGTATCAACAAACTCCCTCTCCGCAAACCGCGGCAGAAGCTGTTTCAACGCAACCCGGAACGCATCCTGTCCTTCAAGCGGCACAGGAACCCCCTGCTCAGGTAGACTAACCACCATCGAGCCCGAAGCCCCAGCACCAGGAACCGGCACCTCAACCGGATTGCGATACCCATACGCATGCCGCGCAATCTTAAGCAGATTACCCCGGGGCGGGATAATAAAGATACCCGTTGCGAAATTCAAGATCGTAGGCAAATTCTCCAGCTCACGCTGCTCCTCATCAGAGATCCGCATATAAGCAATTGCCTGACCGGTCGCAACAGCACGACCACGCAAGTCAACCAGTTTCGACGTCCAAGCACCAGTAGCCAACACGACCAAATCTGCCTCGAGAGTTGACCCGTCAGTCAAAACGACACCGGTAGCTTTAGGCTTGGCACCGTTCGTGTCGTACAACACACGCTCGACATCACCAGTGCGGAGGATAACCTTCCTCTCAGCATCGAGGAGGGTCTTAGCATAGCGCACGCTGGCTGCAGCATCAGACCATCCAGACCCCCAGTTCACGTAGCCACCGGCAACATCGAGGGTCGAGCCGTATGCCGGGACGACGCTGAGGACGTCCGCTTGGGTCGGCAGGAAGGTGACATTGTCGCCCTCGATCTGTCGCACGTTGGCGTAGCTCTTGCGTGCGTACTCCTTAGCGCTGGCGCTGTCTTCCGGGTACACGAGTAGCAGACCGTTCTGCGTGTACCGACCCTCGGCACCCCAGTCTGTGCTGCGCCAGCGGTGGATGGCAGCAGCAGCGAGCTTGGAGTATGCTGTGTTGGCATAGTCGGAGCGCACGATCCGTGATGTATCGACAGATGAGCCGTGCGGGTTTGGGATTGTTGGTGAGGACTCTACTACTGTTACTTTTGATTCTGGGTGTCGCTTTGACAGGGAGAGGGCGGTGGATACTGGGGGGATTGTTAGCAGTGTGGGAATGTATGTGTAGAGTACGGTATAGACGGTGTAAACAATGTCAGGACAGGGTTATTGATACTCACATCCAAACACACCCCCTCCTACAATCAGAATCTTGGACGGCAATGCCATTTGCAAAAATATGTGTGTGCGTGAACGCAAAATTGTCCAGAATTGGAGAATCCGGGGGATACTCCAACAGATAACAATTGAGCCGATAACGGCGTCGCTGATCGGCTTCGGCTTCCGACTTTTCTTCTTCGCTGAATACTCCGATCTATACGGAATGAGATGTGCAACTAATCCCAATGCTTCATTTTGATAAGATTGATCAGTTCAGGGTTTATTCTTAGAGCCTCCACTTCCTTTTAGTATCGTGGGGGGTTGACAACCCTGTCGCGTAAGCACTCAATCTTTGCTCGCATCGATCATATATCGAGCACGAAGAAGTCCACAAAGCCCTTGGCAGTGTATTCTGCTAGTTCGAACCGTCATAATGAACGTACATCAATTGCGCAGAGTGCCATTAGTTGCAAAATGGCCCGTCACACCCTGCCGCAGCGCATCAAGCAAAGCACCACGACCCCCGAAGCCGAGGTATGTGACAGAACTCATTCAATTACACACCCAAATTAACATCCCCCAAGTCCCAAAAGCTCCAAGCCAGTGGCGATCAAACGGCGACAGGCAACTCCGCCTCGTCACCACCCAAGCTCACAGGGCGCCCAGTCCGAGACCCCTAATGCTGGAACAGCAAAACAAGGCCATGGCATCCCACCTAGAGCCCTAACCTTCCTGGGCATCACAGCACTCACAATTAGCACGTACTGCGGCTATTTATACGCGTCATACACGCGGGAAGTAAACAAAGCGCAAACCCTGGACGTGCCACGCGACGTCTCAGACCGCTACAACACAACAGCCGCAACCTTCGACGCAGATGTCGAGCTCTCCGAGAAGGCAATGGGCCTCGGCAAGAAGCGACGAGATCTAGTCCACCAAGCACGCGGAAACGTCCTCGAAGTCAGTTGCGGCACTGGTCGCAATCTACCATTCTACGAGCTTGGCGAGCGTCGCGGGACGGATGTCGATGGCCGCGCTGCGGTTTTGGGTTGTCGCTCTGTTACGTTTGTCGATCTTAGCCCGCAGATGGTTGCTATCGCTAAGGAGAAGTTCGAGAAACTGTATCCTGCGTTCAAGGCGGTGTTGTTCCAGGCTTGTGATGCGGGTGCGGTTGCGGCGCCGTCTGCGGTGAAGGGGGAGCCGGTTTACTTTGATACTGTTGTGCAGACTATGGGGCTTTGCTCGATGCCGGATCCGGTTGCTACGCTGAGACATTTGGGATCTGTTACGGAGCCTGAGAATGGGCGGATCTTGTTGCTTGAGCATGGGCGTTCTTATTATGATTGGGTTAATCGGATTTTGGATAATCTTGCTCCGGCTCATGCCGATCGGCATGGTTGTTGGTGGAATCGGGATATTGGGGAGATTGTGCGTGAGAGTGGGTTGGAGATTGTGGAGGAGAAGCGTTGGCATTTGGGGACTACGTGGCGTTATGTGTTGAGACCGAAACAGGTTGAGAAGTCTCAGTCTTGATCTTACATCTAGCGTTAGCTGGGTCTATTTTTGATGTATCTAGCATAATTTGGTGATGTGTATGAGTATTTGGGATAGACTATACTGATTATTGTTCGATTATATAGCAAACTACGAGCGATTAGCATGGGATATACGCCAACATTTATACCACCTTTCTAGTAACGATATCTGAAACCTGGTGTCTTCCAGTCCGTGACATCCTCATAGTCATCTGATACTAACTGAACTCGGTTCACCATATCCGCCACATTTGTCGAATCGTCAGAATCCAACGCCTTCCCACCAACGGCACCCGCGTTTCCAGAACTACCCACAAAGCCCTCTAGACGCACACGACGAGCATTGAACCACTGCAAGTAGAAGCGCAGAGTCAACGCCAACACGACAGCCAGGGCATAGCAAATCAAGATAGTGCGGAACGCAGTGTTATAATGCGGCTCCTCGTGACTAAGGAAGAACTGCGGCCCAGAAATGTTTCCAGCGCAGTATGCCAGGAAGAGCATTGCAGTGACAGTCATTTTCTTAGTGACTCCACGGTAATTGGACTGCACAAGCGATAAGGCAAGCGGCATTGCCGCAGGTCCAGTCGACAAGAGGAAATATCCAAACAATTGCACTCCTAAGACGATATGCTCGCGGGAGTAGATAATTGCACTCCCAATGACGCAAGGGACGACAACAACCACAATAAGCAAGCAGTTCATGTGGCGGAAACGACCTGCCAGCCAGCCCGATCCGGTGATTGCGGTGATAGTGATTATCGAGTAAGGGATGGTGATCAGCGTCGATTGCAGGCTTGTGAACCCAAAGGAGACAATCACCAAATTGGCAAAGTTCTGTGTTCCCCCGTTGGGGATTTGTGTGCAAAGCTCCAGCCCGAAGATAAGCCATGTCTTTGGATCCATTAGACATTCAAGGAACTGGTCCCATCTCCAGGCGGTCTTTTCTGTTGAGCCTGTGCCTGCGACGACCACTCTGTTGCTTGCGAATTGACGTTCCTCTTCTGTTAGGAATTTGGCCTTGGAAATTGAGTCGGGTAGTAGAATCCAGATAGCGAATCCCCAGAGGAATGTCGAACAGCCGAGGACGATGAACATCCATCTCCACGGTCCAACGTGGTCTTTGACGTGGCCCAGCCCGTAGGCGAGGAGACTTGAGAGGATACCACCAACACTCTGTAAAGATGAGCATATATTTAGAAGATATTGGCAGGGAACAACATACGTTTCCAGCAAACCACAGGCCTGTCCTGGTAGGAATCTCATCACGCGTGTACCACGTCGAGGTGATAAACATGAACGCTGGCGTAATCGTTGCTTCGGCAATTCCAAGCAAGAAGCGAACTGTTATGAGACCGCCATAGTTTGTGCAGGCTGCAGTGAGAGCCACTACAGCACCCCAGAAAAATGTGTTGGCCGTCAAGTATTTGGCAGCGGGCAGACGAGCAATGAGCAAAGTTGTTGGATATACCCATCCCAAGTAACCAAAGTAGAAGATGGATGATACCCAGCTGTATTGCTGGCCAACCAAACCCTATGAATGGTCTTAGTTAGGGCTTCTTGTTTCTCTTGAGATGTTCTTACAGTATCTTTCCTCAATCCGAACACGGACGCGCTTGACAAGATGGTTTTGTCCATAAAATTGAACATATAAGTAGTGAAAAGCAGTGGTATCAGTAGTCTGTCAATCTTCCTCAGTACTCTTTTCGCCAAAGTCTGGTCCGTCCCCTGTTCCAGTGTTGCATCGGAGGTCATTGTGTCCATAGTGGGAAACGATGCCACTTTTAATGAAAAGAGAGTCCTGGGAATCCTTACAGACTCAACTCTTATAAGGGTATGCCGTTATCTTTCCCCGCACCTCTTATTGGCCTATTGGCCGCATCCCTGCATGTTATCGCCGGTGCAGGAATCCTTCCAATCCTTCGAGCCCTAATTGGATGAGGATAGAGCTAAATCCCTTAGGGCTGGAACTAATGCACCGATAACGTCGTAGTAGCTTTTTGGAGTTATTCTTCTACCCCAATTCTGACGGACATTTAAACATTTAACCTTCTACCTCCGGAGACTACATTTGCATTTTATTTGCCCAAAATAAAAACCCAACAATCATGAACGGCCTCGAGATCACACCGTTCATAGCCAACCTCCCCAAGGTTGAGCTCCACGTCCATATCGAAGGCACCCTAACACCTTCTCTCCGCTGGGATCTAGCCCACCGCAACAACATACCCCTCCCTTACGCCACCTTCTCAGACCTGCAAGCCTCCTATGCAGTAACCCTCAACCACCGACCGGAGCTAAATGGCCGTCAACCAGGCATCCCAACCTTCCTAGAAGCCTATTTCGCTGGCTGCGAAGTCCTCCGCACAGAAATCGACTTCTATGATCTAGCCATGGCATACCTACAACGGTGCGCAGCCATGAATGTCCGCTATACCGAACCCTTCTTCGACATCCAGGCACATACACGCCGCGGCGTCCCCGCAGCCGCCGTCCTGGACGGGTATCTGCGTGCGAAACACGATGCCGCAGCCCAGCTCGGTGTTCATTCGCGGTGGATTCTGTGTTTCTTACGCGACGAGCCCGTGGAGCAAGGTCTGGATGCTTACCGGGAGGCTCGGCCGTGGGCAGCAGGGACCGTTGATGGCGGGAAGGGACTGTTCCATGCTGTCGGGTTAGCGAGTAATGCGTACGAGAGACCACCTATGCTTTTTGAGGAGGGTTTTGCGTTGGCGCGTGCGGATGGTCTGCATGTTACTATGCACTGTGATTTTGGGCAGAAGGATACGCTGGAGCATGTTGGTCAGGCTATTTTTGAGGTTTGTGGGGGACGGGGAGCGGAGAGGATTGATCATGGGTTGGACGCGGAGGATTCTGAGGAGTTGTGGCGTGGGTTGGTGGATAGGGGAATTGGGTTGACTTTGTGTCCGCATGCTTATCATCGGAGGACGGCGACGGAGGCTTTGTTTCCGAAGATTCGGAGATTGGTGGAGAGGGGGGTGAAGGTTTGTATCAATAGTGATGATCCCACTTTGATGCATGATGTTTGGGTTGATGGGAATTTGCAGAAGATTTATACTTATTGTGGATTTAGTCGGAGGGAGATGGTGCAGCTTGTGAGGAATGCGGTGGATATGTGCTGGGCTGAGGAAGATATCAAGAGGGCTATCTATCAAGAACTAGATAGTGTTGATGTTGACTAGAAGTCTACTGTTTCAAGATGATATCTATCGTAATCACTGTCACATTTCAACGCAAAACGAAGGCTGTTCAAAGTACATATCGGTAAATATATCCAGTATTTAAAGAGTGCAGCGTTTTTAATCACTGGGAGAGCTTCTCCTGGGCAAGAGTACCCCGATGAATAAGGTCACGAGATTCTATCATGAAAAGAAAGTCAGACACGCCTGTTTCACAACCCCAGGGAAAGGTATATACACACCTTCTGGTGGAGGACCAATCGGCTGACCCACCGGCACTTTGCGATATTTAATCGAATCTGGCGAGATTGGAATCTTTCTGGACATTAGCTTTGGCCATAAATATGAGGAAATGCGACTTTACATCATTGGCATCAAGTTCTGCAAATAGCTGATCGGCTAGCTTGCTGATATTCTGCAAGTGCTTTGTTAAATGAGACGTTTGCGACGAAACTCCAAGTAAAGGCAGGCGATATTTCGATAATAATTTCTTCCAGCTATACCATTTGACGGATGTCGATGAGACGGTATAGTTGCTTTTCGCTAGCCAGCATATCAACTCCATATGAGCGTATGCTAGAAGCAGGCCACGGTTGGCGCATCGGGAATCTTGCCTCGAAGCATTGATAAGTCGGCCATCGGACGCAGCACGCTCAACGTAATCACGAAGATATTTTTTGAAACTCCTTCTGTCGAGTCTATTGGCTTCAAGGTTGTCTGCGATCGTAATGATAGTACTCTCTATGCTTCCCAGTAGTTCAACTGCAATGGTAGTTTCTTCAGGCATGATGAATGTTGCGTTCAAATGTATCACATGGTCATTTTGAATTCTGGTGTGATGGTGCTGCCTTATTATACTAGCACACCATGATTTTTGATGGAACTGCCCAGAATTTAGAACAAGTATTGTTGTTATGGGTTAAGTGAGGGGCAGCAAATAGTGTAACAAACCAGAATTTTATCGTTCTCGGTCTATATCGTAGATTTGTTACCAGTAGGCGGCAATCCATACTTGCGCTACCTACCCTGCCGCAGCATGACTCACAAGATATGTATATTACATCAAGATCCTTGGGATACAGGGTTTTCCACAAATGATAGTCCTTTCACTGCCACGTCTGTCCGCGTGACATCTAGACTTACCGATAACATCGTGGAAAAGATCAAGGTAGTCAAACAAAGACATGGAAAAGATTATGTGGGGTAAGTCATCTGATCTGCACTGGACGCCACAATGAATAAAGTTCAGCCGCAAGATGATCTAGGCCTCTTAGATTATGGGTAAGTATGCAGTGTTGTTTGCTTTGTTAAGAGCCGAGTAGCGGACGACCGCATGTTATATAAAGAATTTAGGAAGACTAGTTCTCGGTTGCCTAGTTCCTTAAACAGCATGGCTGGACCGGAGGCTTGCCTTCTACAATGAGAAGACCTTTTCACCCCGCATTAAACTAGGAAGCACGTATGTTACTATCAGCACAGCTGACTTGCATCACTCAGACCTCATAGCCTGTTAAAAAGATGTTACGTATGTTCTATCGTGCTAGCCCCACTCTTCGAGTCAAAGGACCATACGAGTAGTGTGAAACATTTGCCTTGAAATAGGCACCGGAAACCATCAGACAAATCATTCACTTTTGTGGAAAACGAGTTATATCTCATTCTGGTAAAATAGATGCGAATTCGGCATCAAGTAAGCCGATATCTCCTCCAGGGCTGTGGGTCGATCAGTTGTAAGATGTGCTAAGTACTTTTGCCTATTATCTATCTTGTTTGCATGGTGTATCTCGCATAAAAGCCTTGGACTTAAATTCGAGAATATTGGGTTTCTTGGCTTCGGATGTTGCTTAAGAATATAGATAACGAGTGAATGGTAGCCAGTAACAAAAACTTCACCTCTTTCCTTCAATCTATGTTCCATTGAAACCAGCAAGCACAACGTGTCGCAATCAAAGATGGGGCGAATTATTTTGTCGAGCAAGAGGCTGGTTGGTGCAGAGCCAGTTCACTCTTAGCATATAATCGCCCCCCCAGGACTGTGCTGGGAGATGTCGACCCCTCATAAAGCGGCGCTACCCCGATTAGGACAATCGCTACGGCCTAGAATCCGGTGCATGGAGCGCCATGCAGCATATGTATGCACTAGTAGCCACTCCGCACTTTCTTTTCCACAGGCATTGGCTGATGATGATATCGATCGTGTGCCGCATTAAAACGGGTTTTGCTACCAGTGTCTATCATTGATTTATATGCAAGGTGCAGATCTTTCACAGGGGTTATGCCGTGTTATGTGGTTAGTCATCTGTTGTTTGCAGCGGGGAAGTTGGGGCGGGAGGTAAGGTTTGGATATGCGATGCATCGGTCATCGAGGCGTGTTTATCCTTTGGTAGATCTAGATTTTGGATGTGTCTGTTTAGATATCATATCGGGGTTGCTATTTTAAGGATAGTAAGATAACCTTGATTTGCTATACTATATACTTTGTAAGATACTTTGTGCTCGGTAAACTCTACAGAGTAGAATGGATATAGTAATAAGAGAGTACACTAGACGGAAGTGGACATGTAGTACCATAGCGTTGTGGAGGTGCGGAGAATTGCCGTGCACCTGCATACTGTACGATGTAGGTACAGTTACCTCTCTCACATATAATTTGGAATTCACTGCGATCAGATAAACCCGAAGGTTCACGGGTGGTGTTCCCGTGTAATAATAGGCTGACTATGTCCATGGTTGACTGTATTCTTCGGACTGGTCGATGTCATGAAAACGGAGATCGGCAAATGCGACAGTCGATATACAACATAACTATTGCAGGGGTTAATTCAAGGAATGATGTTTCCTTCGATACCGAGTACGACCTGCATGACATCCAGCAATGCATAAGTCCCTTGCTGGATGTCCGAAGGAGGAGATAGGGGTACAAACATTACTCCACGGAGTACTGAGTACAGTGGAATATACTCCAATATACGGAGTTCAATAAACCATCTCTACTGAGCACAAAGTTCAATAAACACTGATATTCAATTGATCATCATCATATCATTGAAAGTTAGGTGGATATGGGATATGGGATCCGATGGTGAGGGGAAGGATGTCATCATATACACGTAGAATAATAAGTATCAGATTCAGAGTATATACATTTTAAGAGGTAATTGCGGCAAGTTATACGGAGTACAATTTAAAAAAAAAAATAGATAGATCAAGAAAAGTGTCTCAACTTTTTCTACATCATAGGGTGGCAAACGTTCCTTTTCTCCCCGAGACGCTAATGTGAGCATCCCTTACTAGCGTCATGTACAATACGATACTTTTCTAATTGTCCCGGTTCCTGAGATCCATTGGCCTAAAATAGTGGAGCATAGTGGACTTTAAGTGGTCACTTCATATCTATTTTTTTTTTTTTCTTTCTGTTTGTAAACGGCTGCGCTAGGGTTTCCGTCGGAGAGCTCGGCTTAATGTTTTCCTTTTTTTTTTTCACCCTATCTTTGGTCAAAACATTCAAGTTGGACTGGTTTACAATGCTTAGTTAGTATACTTGCATATTTTGGCTCTCATATATTTAGATCTGTCATCGGCGGTGTGTGTGTGTCTCCCCTAGCAACAGATGACAGATCGAATACATAATCTACATATCCTATGCACTAAGAATCCAAGTTTCACCGGGCCTGACATGCGACCAATCAATCTAACGGTAGGTGTAATTATTATTCAAAGAATCGGGATACGATTAGCGGAATCCGATGTGCTTACAGAGTAATGGAGACGCCAAGGTTAGATGGAGCACCAAAATTGGACCTAGTCGGGTCATAGAACACATGGCCAACTCCACTCAACTCTTGTTCTGGTAGATTGAATTGCGCTAAGACCTAAGATAGAATGGAAGAACTATGGATTATCATACTAAGGCCTGAAGAGGAATGGGTTCACCCCCACCTGGAAATTATTCGGGTTTTGTGTCGCATGTCGCATGTTGAATTTCTATCTTAACATGGCGGTGAGAACCCATATTAGTATATGTAACCTAGGAGACTAAAGGTTATGCTAAATAAATAGATGTACATAGTACTCCGTATAAAGTACTATGTATAAGAAAAATATAGACATTCCCACATTCTTATAAAAAAAATAAAATAAAAACAAGCCCTGGTTCAACCAATCACCATCACACTAATTCGGGAGGCTGCCAAATTTAAAGGCCATAAAATACCATACCGTAAATTACATCCCCAATTTTATTTTTTTTTTCCAATTTTTTCCGCAGATTCCTCAGGCCCCCCCGTTGATAATTTGCCATCCAAACAGCTCTTCTTGTCGCATCTTGATGATCCCCCCCGTTTATCTTTCTCATCCCCCTTTCTACTAACATTTTCCCCCCATATCTTAGAATCGTTTTTGTTATTATTCTTCTTATTATCTTGTTTATTATTATATCCCCTTTCTTTTCTATTATATCCTCGTCTTTGTCCTTACTCCTTTGATTCTTGTGATATTTTTTTATTATTTCGCAATGCCGTACAACACTCGTCGCAAGTCACTATCCCTTCCATCCTTGGGCATTCAGCTCCCAAATTCTACTCGTCGTTCTCCCTCTATCTCAAAAGTGCACACCGATGAGCAACCCTCAAAAAAGGTCAAGAGATCACACGGTTCAACCTCATTATCACCCGAGCCGTCCGACTCAAAAACAATTGCGCGCGCGGGCCGACATGGACTATTTGAGATTACACCACCTCCCTCACCTATGGATGGAGTACTGGCACCCAAGATCGATACAGAAGGAATTAACGACGATATTGTGATCGCGGTAATCAACCAACTGGAGAAGACTGGGAATCGCCCTCATCTCGTGAAAGAACTCGCCGCAGTCCTGGTCGCACTAAATGTCAATGTGGCAAAGTACGTATCCCACCGAGACTGTCTTTTAAAACACAACTAACGTATGCTGTCTTAGTTCCGCCAATCCCGCCGCGTTGCTCTCGTCACGGTTAGCAGCCTATATGAAGCGCCCTTGGACGGCTCTCGCTCCGTGCCCTATCGCCAAGGAGCTTATTTTAATTCACCCGCGCAAAGTGTACTACTATCTTACTACGTTTCCCCATCAACCTATTCCTGAGACCGATGATCTGGCATCTGCCGCCGGTAGTAAGCACATCACACCCAGTGTTTCCAGTCTCGAGGATGAGGAAGACGCGATGGTGCGGGAACGTAGCCCCAGTCCCGAGGTGGACTTGTCTTCTCCCGACTTCGAGGATAATGGCGATTTGAATACGTCCGCTAGTCACGGCAGCTCTTCCGATCACTTCCCGAACGCTAGTAATTTGACGCGTCTTATGAACTCGCATCGTGCAGCTTCTCCGCCCCTGGAGGGCGATGAGAAGGAATTCACACAAACTGCCAGCGCTGTGCGTGAGCGTGCATCCGAAGAAAAAGCTGAGTCGAGCCGTAGCCAATCCGTCCTTTCTGAGAGCCTGAGTGCCTCGGAGGACCGTGATATGCGCATCTCTGAATCCCCTGTGAATGGTGGTTCAATGTCCCCTTCTCTGCACGGTGATGGCATGTCTGAAGAAGAGTATAGTGACTACTTCTCCCACATGCCCGTCGACCAAATGGCCCACGATCTGGACGAGGCTGCTGCGACTGCCCTGTTTGGCACCTCCCCATCCCCCTCGCTTACCTCCATTGCATCGTCGGTCTCGTCTGGCACGAGCGCTCTGACAGATCTCGACGTGGACGGTGAGGAGCTTGCTGGCACTCTCATTGCCCCCCAGATCAGCCTCCCTGAAGATCCCAATGCCGCACCTGTTTCTAACCTCAAGCGCTCGCTTGATATGTTGAACAGCGGCCTTCCGGATGTCGATCTGAAGATGTCAGACCTGACAGAGTCGCACGAGAGGCTCACTCTTACCCCTCGGGCTAAATCCATGAACTCGGAGGCCGTCTTCGAATCTTGGAGAGAGTTGCAAAACCCGGAGATGGTGGAAGTCGATGAGCTCGATGAGATGTTTGGCGAATTCTAAACTATTCTCGACTACCGAGTCCACTTCTCTCGGTTTATGTTCCCTCTCTTCTCCGTCTCTCCGCTCCTAGCTGGGCTGTGACCCACTATCCCCTCTTTTACCTCTATTTACCTCGCTTGTACATGTCCATTGTCGTTTTTGGCGCACCCTTTTACCTTTTTTTCCCGCTAATGCCTATTTTCTCTTGTATATATACATATGTTTTGGTTAACTTACCCTGGATGGGTAGATTGGGAGGATATTCACGGCTGGAGGAATGGCTTTACCCAAAAGTGTCAAAATAACTAGCGTTTCTTCCCATAAATTCATCTTTCCATCTTCATCTTTCATCTTTCGTAAAAACAGACAGATATATTCATCCATATAAGAAAAATAAAACGGGCTCTGACTAATCAGAAAGGCTTATCGCGTGGCCCCACCGATTACGCATGATCCGCCACTTCGCGACTTCGTTCTTTGGTTTCTACGGTGTTTTTCATTTCCGAGGGTACATATTTGTAATGCTCTTAACGGGGCTCAGATTTTCTCTGTACATACATCTGCAATCATTTATCGCCCTCTAATATACCAATTCGGCCCCACTATTCGTGACAACTTTATGAATAGGGAACGCAATATCGAGATTGATACTCCCCAAACACACTCGCGTTAACTTGCACAGGGCTGCTGTGACAATGACTGTTGAAGAAGCGCCTCGACAGCCGAACTATGACGGTTCCATTCCTCAACCTGAAGCGTCCACCCAACAACCGACAGCAGATATCGCCCCTAGATTCCACCACCTTCTTTCTGTCCCAGACGCAGTGTCCACGACAGACGCTAAAAGAGCCAACACAACCTCGACTCTACCGAGGACACTCGCCGCACGAACAAAAGTTGCCATTCCTCGTCAACGGGCTGCATCTACTCCGCGGTACAATCGACGAGTGCCTCGCGCTTGTTCATCCTGCAGGCAGCGCAAGACAAAATGCAGTGGCGATACCCCGGTCTGTCGTCAGTGTCGTGAATTAAGGGCTACGTGCAGCTACCCCGAAGCTTGGAGGGATAGAACGAAAAAGTAGGTATATCTGTGGCTATACATGCGTATTAATGGAAGAAACTCAATTGCAAGCAAGCATGCTGACTGATTGTTCGCGCATTATAGAAAAATTGAAAGTCTCTCGGAGAAAACACAAGAGTATGAGAATCTGTTGAAGGACCTGGTGGGTGTTGTTGACCTGGGTGCCGCCGAGCGGATCAGGAGCTTGCTGGACAAGGTTTGTTCTTCCTCTTGGAATATTGGATATCGCTAACACTCGCAACCTCAGCATGTCCCGGAGGTGGATTACTCTTCGCATAATTCCCAATCTCAATCAGTAACCCCTCAGGATGACCTTCCGATAAACGACGAACCATCCTCGCCTTCATCTATTGGGTCCCTTGAGGCGATTGATCGAGTAGAAGAGGACATCAATCGATCAGGAGATGCCAGAGCAACTGGTTACATGGGTAAAAACTCAGAAATTACTTGGATGCAGCGGTTACAGAGGGAGGCAGACCAACGTTCCAAAGGTCTTCCTGGGAGTCTAGAACCTGGCCAAGATCGAAAGACCGACAATGCATTAGCTCTGCATGCGGTCAATTATCATCTTGATGACTTGGAGATCACTGTCCCCGGACCGGTACATCTGTATGCCATGCCTCCGAGAGAGGTGGCGGATCGCATGTTCGAGGCATATTTGACAACCGTGCATCCGTTCTTTCCCATCATCAACAAACCTCTTTTCTCAGCACAGTACCGAACATTCTTTGACACCGCTGCTCAACCCGGTGACAAGTGGCTTGCTATATTGAACATGATATTCGCAATTGGGGCTAAACATGGCCACCTCATCGACGCACCATGGCGTGGGGACGTGAAAGACCACTTGGTATATCTGACCAGAGCTAGGATCCTTAGTATGAACGGCGATGTCCTGTTCAGCCATCCCGATCTCCAGCAAGTCCAGGTGGAGGCCTTAGTTGCTTTCTACCTTCTTGCTTCTGATCAAATTAACAGGTGAGTTTTAAGACCCTTCTGTTTAATTTGGATTGAGCTGGCCTTAACACTTAATGTAGGGCGTGGAGAATCTCGGCTTTGGCAGTGCGGTCTGCAATCACACTTGGAATCAACATGAAAAGCAGCAGTCCAACCACACCAAATCTTTCGAAAGAAGCCCGTTACCGGGTATGGTGGTGTCTGTATACATTTGAGCACATGCTCGGAGTAATGACTGGCCGGGCAACCTGTATCCAAGATGGAGTGTGCACCTCGCCTTTCCCGATTCCATTCGAAGAAGATCAGCTACAGGAGCCTGGTGCCCTCGAAGTACTCACTGACACGACACTACGAGACCAACGAATCAACAATGTTATGGCAAGTACGCACATCAGACAAATGCCGTTCCACCCGATAAATGGCAAGGACGCCAATAACCGCTCCGGTGCACGAGACACTAAGTGGATAAAAAGCCTGCCTGTCAACTACGGGCTCTGTTATCTCTACTATTGCGACTTGACAGTCGTCGTGCAAGAAATCATCAACAAAGTCTATTCAGTGGACTGTGTGATGGTGCCCTGGGCACAAATCGAGACTCGAATTGGTCAACTCAAGTCCCGAATCGAGATATGGAAATCTAACCTTCCAACTGGACTTGACTTCACAATCAAGGAAGAGAATGGACCGGATATCCTTCGCTGCAAGCTGAACTTGGCGTTGCATTACTATAGTGCGCAGATCACCCTAGGTCGTCCCTGCCTCTGCCGACGTGATGCGCGCCAAAAGGGCAACAACCCCTCTTTCAGCCACGAAATGGCAGTGTTAACCCTGAAGTCTGCACGGCACATGCTAGACTTGATCCCAGATGAACCGGATGCTCTCCAGCTGTACGGGATTGCTCCATGGTGGTGCATCCTCCACTATCTCATGCAAGCAGCGACCGTTCTTCTCCTCGAGCTGTCCTTCGGTACCGTCCACATGCCAGAAGAGGAAAGTAACTTTGTCGTCCTATCCAAGAAAGCAATCCGTTGGCTCTTCGCAATGTCCGAGCAGAGCATCGCCTCCCGACGCGCCTGGCAGCTCTGCGACCTCAGTCTCCGCAAACTCGCCCTGGGCATGAAATACGACCTCAGCGATCTTCCTTCTTACCCGTACACCCCAGAACCTACAAGCACCATCAGTTCCGAACTGCCGTCTGACCAGCCAATATCTCATACCGCTGGCGACTACTGGGGACCGCAGATGGAATATCCTCCAGCGTCTATTCCGGATGCACCACCACCCGGTGTAGACCACCAGACAGACCCAAACATCTCTACCGAGGACCTGGTCGAATCCTTGACGGCCGAGGCGTACGAGTCGTACTTCCCTTATGATCCCATCTCTGGAGAGTTTATGCGTTCTTTCTTTCCTCATTCCAATGAGAATGAGAACTGGGAATGAATCCAATTATCGCCCATACCCATGAATACCTTACGAAACTACAAAACAGCATGAAAGTACACGGAAAGAGCATGCGAGTTGTCTATTATCCTATTCTTTTCAGCTGACTTGCCATTTATTGCCCTTCCGAGATTTACTCAATTATCATATCCCATCCCCAGCAGTATACCTACGAACCCCCTTTTTTCACCTATTCATATCCCCATCCCTATTCTTTTTATTCCTTGTTCTTTTCCCTACCCATGTTTTACTATGTACCGTCTTGCTAAACGCGTATGTATATGATTTTGATGCTCATTTCTCTTTCTATTTTACGAATCATTTCCTTGATCTACCGCGAATATCGTTTTGCATTAAAAAAAGTTCATAATGGTGTATCAATACCTGGGTGTCTCGAAGTTGATATCTAGATGATATCCAGAAACAACCAAAATCGAACGCGCGTGATATCTCTTCTGACCTATTTTTGATATTGGTCTTGTCTTGACACACTTTGAAGGGCCGGACTGTGAGCTGGACTCATAACAGGGACTTTGGGGGCTTAGGCTTGGCTTTTAGTTGGCGCTGGGGTGTTTTATCGGCGTTAAACTTGATGCTACGGTTGTTGTTGGTTTTTTTTTTTTTTCAATTTATTCCTCTTGGGTGAAATCAGAATACTAGACTGAATATCCAATCGAAACAACCGTCCTACCAATTAAAGGTCATCTCAATTAGTCCATGAGTGGAAAAAAAAATAGTATATACATTCGAGAATAGTTTTTACTTTAAAAATACATGTTCGGGACCTAGAAGAAAACCCCTCCTACATCCTAATTCTTGTGATTATCGTAAGGCCACTTCGGCTCTGGCCCCGGCTGCTCCGGCTTCGGCAAAGACTCCGCCAATTCCTTCGGCCAGTGAGATCTCATGAAAGGATCAGACCTATTGTACTTGATCCGCATCCTGACCGGTCTGCGCGTGGGTGAAGAAAAGACCTTCCTGAGCTGCATGCGACGCATGTGACCCGGGATCTCGATATCGACCTGGTCTTCCGGGAGACCGAATTTGAGGAAAGTCTCGAGACAGAAGTCTAGAATGGACTCGAGCTCTGTTTGTGGCATTTTGCCCGTCTTTAATTGGTAGGGGTATTCCTTGCGGGAGATGGAGGGTGTATATGGGATGGTGGGGTCGTAGATGAAGGAGGAAGAGGTGTGAGAGTCGGTTTTGGTTTGGGGTATACTGGGACTGGGGGTGTGGTTGTGGTTTTCTGTGGTTTCTTTCACGCATGCCGCGTATTCGCGGACGGCACTTCGTGCGAGGATGCGGACCGTGTTGAGGTCTGCTATTGTGGCTTTGCTTCGGACTTGGTTGACGTATTCTGCGTCCCATCCTGGGGCGCCGTGGGAATTGGCGCGTTCGTCGCTGAATAGTAGTCGGGCGACGCCGCCTGGGGATTGGAGTTGGCGTTTGGGGGATAGCCAGTCAACGCAGACTTTATCCCATAACTGTTTGCCGACGATGGCGCCTTGCGTTTCCACGACGGCGGCGAAGATCTCGTGGAAGGTGGTTGGGGGGATCAGAGTGGCTTTGTGGTGCCCGGTGATTTCTTTGGGTGCTTCCACTTGTTTGAGGAGGTCTGGTAGAGGACCTGGGATGAGGGAGAGCACGCGGTGCATACGAGAGAGTGTGCGAAGCTGGAAGTTCTTGAGTTTCTCTCGGGTATTAGTAGCATGCCACTCGCCGCGGAAAAGGCGGAGCAAGATGTCTTTGGCCTGATTCAGGTCGTTTGTATCTGCCTCGGTCAAGGTGCCGGCAGATGTCTTCTGTTTAACGGTAGCATCAAGCCGAATTATTGCACTGGCCAGTGCACCGATATTGATGTAACCCCAGGATTTAGCTCGGTGGTCGGTGAGGAAGTTGAGCATCAGCACCACACGTTTCCAATCTTTCCGTGCGATGCTGAAATTGATCAATGATTTAATGGTGTTCACAGAAAGTGGGATCGCGAGAGACGCAATGACACGTTCGCCAAGCTCGGCATTAGAAGTAGCCGATGCAAATCGAAGAATAGATGGCGCCAGAGCCTGGTTGCCATATGCGCTTTGAGGGATGGCAGGGCCATCGATGTCATTATCCAAAAGTAGTTGTTGACCAAAATCAAACGCGTGGGTTGTAGTCGCCACATCAAGGAGGTTGGCAAAAGTGGCACATGACAATTGTGGGATAGATGATTGAGAGATATCTTGAGGTTCGAAAGATTTGAAATCAAACAACGAAGAAGCTTCTTCATCGCTGACTTGGCTCATCCGTTCAAAGAACTTTTGGATGTGCTGTGCCTTGCTTGCATCGGCAATATTTTGAAGCCAAGCATACTCGTGGAAAAGGCGTCCACTTTGCTTGTCTCGAGCATAGTAATTGAGATTGAACTCGATCAGACCGGTCATGGCGGCCGATTCATCATAGAACTGAGCCCGCGTTTTTCCATCCAACACTTGTGCTGAGCCCAACTCGTTCCCTTCCCACGGAGGAACAACATTGTTCTGAGACCTTAGGAGATCCTCGAAGGCAACGGGATCAGTAGACGGTTTTAAGCAGCCAGAGGCCAATATCCGCACAACGTGCCAGTTGGTGAACCTGCTTGTTGGACGAAGCTCCTCACGGCTGGGCACAGGAGGGTCAATAAGTTTAGTCAGAGGGGCCGATAAATTAGTGAGATCCTCAGGAAGATATCCACGATCTCCCATTCCGACATAGGCCTTGTTTGCCAACCCACTCCGCAGAGATGCAACCACCTCAGAGCTGATGGTGCGGAAACCAAGTCCATTGAATGGTGCTTTTTCCTGACCCTTGACCGTCCGAGGTTTCTCGTTTTCGCCGGGCCGACGCCATGATTGCTCGATACTGACATTAGTTTGTTGTACTGTATCAAGTTCCTTTATTAGAGGCGCCCAACTTTCAGCCTTCCATTCGCTAAGCCGGGTCATTTGATGCACAAGTAGTGTGCCCGTTCTGCAGAACCCATGCTCTACACAACACCATAAAATGAGCTCAAACCAGATCTCGGGACCCAGCTCTCGAATTCGCGGCGTATAAGGAATGAAAGGCGACGATTCTCCTGCATCAGCAGCCGCAGCAGCCACTGCTGCTTCATGCTCATGCCACGCCGCGTCAGACAAAACGCTCATGATGGAATTGGACAGGAAATGGAGCCCTGGCGGGCGGAACACAATCTGGCTAGCATCTGGTTTCGGGTATTGATAAACTCTATCAGAGATCATGCCTGCATGGTGTAAACGGGCAAGAGTTCGGAATACACAGGTCATTGCATGCTTTGAATCAGCTGACCGACTGCGTGCAGCATACAAAACCAGAGAACCGAGGTTTGCGAGTACTTCAGCCAAAATCCTCTCTCCAAAAAACCTAGGCGCAGGCTCCACTGTCAGGGTATCAAGCGAGATGTTATCTGATGAAAGAGGTTGTAGACGAGACCATTTCCAAGGTGATGTTGCTTTTGTGCCTCCCGTGAGCTTGCTGAGGGAGATCTCTGTGGTGAGGGGAGACACAGGGTCGGATGTCGACTCATCTATGCGGCGCACGCGATATGGCTTGTTCCAATCGAGCCCGGCCGAAGGGTGTTTAGGAGGCATATGAGCAGCTAGCAACTCATAGGTGTCGATCATGCCGTTTAAAAGAGCCTGCACATTAGACCACTCATGGTGCGCAAATCCGAGATGCGCGAGAAGTTGAAATTCAAAATGAACCCTTCCATCCCATAGACATCCCAGCAGAGCGTGGGTCCGATCAAGCTGCTGTTCAGATTCGCGGAGCGGTCGAAGCCTAGGCTGGCCTGCAGATTGGGCAACGTCTGGTTGTTTAACATTTTTCGGTGGGATACAATCCCTCAGCACCGGCATCCACTCCTCAATATGCCTCTTCTGGTCATGTCTAAGGCGGGGGTGTTTGATTAAATTGTATCGGCGTAGAAAAAGAACTTCATCTGGGAAGTTAATCTCTCTTTGATCATTGCGAGTTTTCCGGGTGAATTGAGTCCAAGTCGGCCGGGAAAAAGGAGATGAAGATCGATACGGGAGGAAAGGGAGGCGCGAAGCAGCCGGCCTGCGACCGAATGGCAGGTTGCCGGAGCGCAAGCACCTGCTCATGGTATCGCAAGGCTCGAGGGCGGGTGTATGGGTTTCGCGATCTCGATGGGTACGGGATTGGCATGATACATGTCGATTTCACAGGTACATGGCGTAATATTGACGATATTCAATCGAACCCCGTACCAACAGGGGCAAATGAGGACCAAAGGTGTAGATGAGCGTAAATGTTGTTTCGAGAATTTTGGAGATCAGGAACTGCTGAGTAAGCACCGAGCTCTGTCCAGGTGAACCAATCGGAGGTCACAGAATGCGGAGTTCCTTATACTTCCCAGGTACATCAGGGGATTCCATAAGATATTCTTATATGGTTTTAATTATATGTATACTACATTGAGCTTGAGTGGTTGATCAGATCCAGACTCAATATGGAAAAGTCTACAGAATCGCTGGATGGTGTATTGGTGAAAGCCAAGGTAAAGGGTCGCTTTTATCACATTTGATATACTCCCCACGAATTAATATATTCTCAAAAGATCGGCCCTCGAAGTTACCTTTGAGAGTAGATATCATCTCCAATTAAGCATGGCTGTTCTAAGGCCTACAGTGCGTCTCAGCTAACATCATTGGACCATGTCCTTCTTCAAACGCGTGGTTGGCGAGTCATCTTTTAGCAGTCTTCCTACCCATTCATCTAAAAAAACCGAGTATATGTTGCCGGAGGAGGCGTGGTCCAGTACATGGGAGACCGACAGCAAGAGTGGGCCAGGCGTATTTGAGCCTCATCTCCGGATGCATGTCGATCCACCGCAGCCCTCCGGCTATTTAGACATTCAGATTCAGTCATGTCATACCCACAGGGGTTTCGAAGGTTGCTACGCGAATGGATAACATTGGCCGGACAGCGCTGCATGACGCTACCGTCAACGAGCATGCATCCGTGATCATGCATATTCTCGCTCCACAGGATGTCTCGGGTGAATATATGCTTCAGCCAACGGACAGGCTCTTCATCTGGTTGTGCAAACCCGGCAAATGAAAGTTGTCAAGTTGCTAATAGAGGAAGAAGGTCGTCTTTATCCGTCTGGGGCAGTTTGAGGATGCTCATCCGTTTGCCCTAATGCCGGTGAATGGACGAGAAATAGAACGAACTAATGATACAATCCACACGTTCCTCTGCCTTGTAACTTGTCAGGAATGGACGGTCAAACGGTCGTTTCTCATATATCTGCCAAGACTTCAGTGACTGAATTGCAATTCCTGGGAAATATGACTTCTATGAATGGCATGTTTGTCCATGAATGACAAGGTGATTTATTTGATTTACTTGGTAGCGCTCACGTAAGCGTTGAGAACGGCTCGGGGGCATTGGAACGAATCAATGGTGTTGATGACAAGTGTTCCTTTATTGGTGGCGTCACGCAGCCGAGGAGGACAAAGTCCTCTCTTGCGGGGTAGCAATTTGTCTATTGCACTTTGCTTTTATATACAAAGCGAAGGTGAGAGGAAATTTATCTTTGACCTCGTGTGATTATCATGACCATCACGCAAGGCGTGAGGCAACCCTCAAAGATATCCTCCTAATATATCCTCTTCCATACCACTACTTTTTCCCTCTGGGCACTGATCCGTCCCTTCCATCCATTCAGTTTACTATATAGAATGTCGACCGTGACAGAGACTCCAGATCCCCCAGCGGCAACAGGGCCACTGCGAGAACAGCTCGAGGTTGAAGATGTTGCATATCCCACTGGGTTCAAGCGAGGAATCGTCATATTCTCGATTCTCCTCTGTGCTATCTTTGTCGGTCTCGACATGACCATTGTCGCGGTGGCCGTGCCCAGCCTCTCCAACCAGTTCAAGAATATCAACGACATTGGATGGTACTCAGCATCCTACCAGCTAATCGCTAGCAGTTTCATCTTTTTCTTCGCACGGCTATACACCGTCTTCTCTATGAAAACCATCTTCCTTGTCTCCGTGTTCCTATTCGAGCTCGGCTCGCTCCTATGCACCGTCGCCCCAACCAGCGCGACGTTCATACTAGGCCGCGCCGTCGCCGGCCTAGGCAGCAGCGGTATCCAAACAGGAAGTATCGTGCTACTGACCCGTCAGCTACCCGTGCACCAGCGGCCCTTCTGGACCGGGCTCATAGGCGCAGGCTCAAGCATAGCCATGGTGATTGCTCCGCTGATTGGCGGCGTTCTAATCGATGCGTTTTCCTGGCGCGCCTGTTTCGGAATCAATCTGCCTATTGGTGCTATTGCAAGTGGGTTCATCGTATACGGGTTCCAAATGCCCGCAAGCCCCCCTCACGCAGTCGGATTGACCGTAATGGAAAAATGTAAGCGACTCGACATACCAGGGACGCTGGTATTCGTGCCTGCCATCATCAGCCTGTTAATGGGATTGCAATGGGGCGGTGTCAAATATGGCTGGGCTAATGTGCGGATCATCGTGCTGTTGGTACTCTTTGCGGTCCTCGTCGGCATCTTTGCATTCATCCAGTATCGCAAAAAGGAAGATGCTACCCTCCCCGGTCGTATCATGACGCAGCGTAGTGTTCTGGCCGGGGCTTGGTTCAATGCTTGCAGCAATGGCATCCTGGCTGTTACTGAATACTACATGTCAATATACTTCCAGGGGGTGCGCGGTTTTAGTGCTACGAAATCTGGCGCTATGGGCTTGCCGCTCTTTGCGGGCATGGTTGTGACGGTCCTCACGGCCGGTGCGGGGACCAATTGGACAGGCTATTATTACCGTAAGTAGTGACATATTCCCCTAGAATCTGGGATGGAAGGATAATTAACGATATCTGATCTACTACAGCTTTTATGATCATTGGTTCAATCCTCACTCCCATCGCCTCCGGACTGATCACTACAATCGAATACAATGACACCCTGGTTAAAATCCTCATACTCTTGGCTTTCCTCGGTGCTGGCGTGGGCCTAGGTCTTCAAGCCCCAATAGTTGCCGTGCAGACTGTTCTCCCAGACAAGGACGTTGCCACCGGTGTTGCAATCACCGGGTTCACAGGGGGTCTCGCGTCTGCACTTTTTGTCTCGCTTTCTGCTGTGTTGTTTCAGAGCCGACTGGCTATCGAAGTGGAATACCATGCACCTGGGATCGACCGGAGTATCTTTGACCAGGGGGGTTTAGTGGATGTGAGAGACAAGATAGGGTCTGCTAGACTTGGTGCTGTGCTTTCTGGGTATGACGAGGCGGTGATTCAAACGTTGTATATCCCTGTTGCGTTGGCTTCGTTGTCTGTTTTGGCGAGTGTGACAATGGAAAGGAAGAGTGTTAAGAAGACTCGCTAAGTTCTTTCTCTTTATCGATATGCAATGAGTTGCCGGGCATGATATATACGAGAACATCTTCTGTATATCCGATTTAGCTTCGGAAACAATAGCTAACATTACTCGCACCATATTCAATAGGAAATATATACGGGTCCATTCTCTGATACAATATGAATATACTTGTTATAATTTGCTCTATTTTGGTCCTCTTAATCAATCCATTGCGCCGTAGTCAGAGCATACAAAATCTGGCTCAATTGCTTCGCCAATTTTTCATGCTTTGGAATAATTTCAATTAGCATATCAGTGAACTCTGGCGCAGCAGCCCTCCGTGCATTAAGCGCCGCAAACTCAAATCCTTCTGGATATATCCCAGAGTCTCCCCAGTCAATCAGCCAAACTTTGCCATCAGGGCTCAGAATTAAGTTACGGGGCGCAATATCGTGATGTGTGAGAACCAGCCTGTCAAAATGAAACGGTGGAGCATCGTGGGGTGCCTGATTAAAGTGCTGAGTGATGGCAAGTCGGCGGTTGAACCAGGTTTCTAGCTGCTCTTTCGAGCTAAATGGGCCGGCGCCCGCGTCAGGAAACCAGTAACCACGCGCCAAGCAGGTTTTGCAGCCCACTGGACCAGGCTGCTTCTCTTGCTCCTGGGATAGCGGAATAGAGTGTAGAGTGGTAATCATCGAAGCAACCTGGGAGACAACGTCCACGCGTTCTGTCTGACTTAGATCTTCCCAGCATTCCTCGACTGGTCTGCCGTCGACAAAATTCATGACTATCAGACATCTGCACCCGAAAAAGACTTCCGTTTCGATATTAAGAACTCGATGGACCTTAGGGACTGGGAGTATTTGTGATTTTTTCTCCTCTCCCGACATAGCAATAAGCTCAAGGATGCTAGCCTCGCAAGGTCGTGTGTTGATCCCGCCTTTGAGGACCAGTGTCTGTGATAGACGCACGATACGTGTTCCTTGGTAGGAATGAAGAATCGGTGCGGTGCTGAAGAGTTCGGTCAGGGTTTGATCTGAAACTTTGGAAATGTCATGTCCATCGAGAGAGGGAAGTTCTCGGGCTGTGGGCCTCTTCCACTCGCAGGCTAAGAAGAGGTACCGTTGGTTAGCTGGGTTGCAGTAGGTTAGTAGAACATAAATGGTCCTACCTCATGTATATCGATATCTGATATATCAGCCATTTCATGAAAAGGGTGCCGACACTAGAACTGTACTAAGTTGCCTTCCCCGGTTATTGAAAGCCTGGGTTTATCATTTGCAATACATCGTAACTATAGCGGTGTACGGAACGGTCAAGAACCATGCCAAAGTCAGCCCTGGAGGCATTGATGCATTAATGCATTAATATTACGCGGATAAGAGATTTTGTCGCATGGCGGATATACAGTAAGTGTACAAAAGAGGAAATATCCCGATGGAAACGAGCTTTGCTGTTTACATAGTATTGGCTGATACATACACATAGACCCTTTTCTGGAATACAGTAAATGGCCATGTCTTGCAATTTTCCAATGGTATCATTGCTATACTAGGTGTTCACGAATTTATAGGCTTACTACTCTACATACATTCAGAAAGAGACTCTAAAATAGCAAATATTCTTCGTTATAGCCGATCCGGCAGCCAAAGGAAAAGAAAATCAGATAGTACTAGTCTGTCGCACATGTTACAGGGAGCGAAACTGCAAAGAGCAGAATCTAGAGCAGCATCTGACGAGCGTGCAGACGAGCGAAGTCACTCTCTCCCTCACCAGCGTCATCGGCCTTTTCTGCGATAGGCATGATCTTGAAGCCACCTTTCTGGCCGGAGAAACCAGGGGGGAAACCAGGAGGGACACCGGTAGTCGAAGGGGGTCCATAAGGAGTGCTGGTAGGGCTGCCGGTGGGGGATCCGGTGGGAGATCTGGTAGGGGATCTGGTAGGAGTACCGGTGGGAGTGCCGGTAGGAGATCCGGTGGGGGAGCTGGTGGACTTGGAACGGTGGTTTCCTCTGAGGCCGGGTTCCCTGTGGCCAGGGCCATGAGCACGCCCTTCATAATGATGAACGTGGTCATCTTCATGGCCGGGGATGATAGGGAAGCCAGTGGGCCATCCAGGCCATCCGGTGGGCCAGCCGGTAGGCCAGCCAGGCCAGCCACCGGTTGGGGTCCCAGTTGGGGTTCCGGTGGGGGTCGCAGTTGGAGATACGGACCCGGATGGAGTGCCAGACGGGGTGCCCGATGGGGTCCCAGTTGGGGTTCCGGTTGGGAAACCAGAGGTAGGAGTAGCGATGACAGCAGCCTTGTTGTGGGCGTGCTAGGGAGAAGATGTCAGCGAAGAACTAGATCAATTGGAATTTTAGATACTTACAGGCAACTTCCAGGCCGCGGCCGAGGGGGCCATGGATAGGACCGCAACGCCAAAGGCAGCAGTGATCTTCATGGTGAACTGTGTTGGACAGTTGAAAGTGGATGCAAATGAATGGATGCTAGAGGTAGCAACGTAAAGAAATATCTGGAGCTTTTGAAAAGAATGAAAGTGCGCAGCACTGGTTTAAAAATCCTAAGCCGGAAGTTCTAGGTGGTTATATACCCATTGGGGGTTTCATCATTAAGATTCAAAATGATGGATCGAGCCGTGAAAAAAAGACCATGAAAAGACCCTCGAAACAGCACGTATTCCATGAGAGGAATTGGATCTGCAGGGGGGGGGTTAATTCTCCTCCCGTGAAAAGGATTTTAAGCAGGGAGTGATCTTCATCGATGGGATAATAGCCCTATCAACCGGAGTATGGCATATTGAAGTGGAACCATGAACTATGGCACATACAGATGGCCGACGGAGTCTCCGTATACTGGCACGGAGCAAGATGTTTCAGACAAAAAAGACGGATAGAACGGGCGAATGACAGTTCTCCACTTGGTTTACACATTGCTCCTGTCGATCGCCGTGACTTGATGGAGGTGTGTTCTAGATGGAGATTGGCTCCATAAGGACGGCATACCGGTGCCAAGTCCGGGAATATTTTGTTATCTACATGAGTATATTATTTATATTCTCGTATATTTTATTCGTATATTTATTTTCCGAGGTCGTATAGGATATATTATTAGAGATATCTATGAATATCTTTTGAGATACTCAATACGAGAATTCATATGACGTAATTGGAATCTAGAACAAGGTAATTGTTAATGGCTTTTTATAGAACAATCTATGGCAAACTACACTGTGGATATATAATTAATCCTTCAAGTTTTGATCGTAGGTATAATTCTTTAATTAAATCGAAGGCGTTGTGGTGGCTTACGGTCAAAGCTTATCCCCACGGGAAAGTTAGCCACACCTACCTAATGTACTTGCTACGGACTCCGTACTATGGAGAGTATCTCTATGGATTATCTTCAATCTATTTAACTCTAGTTTCTGCAAGTGCGGTTGATATATGCATACGAAGCACACGAACCCCTCACAAAATAACTATTGATCTACAACATACATGGATGTAGAAACTTGACCATTGAAAATGGCCGAGGTTCTTTAGCCGAACCTTAGTAAAGCATCTCAGACACCCTTCTTACAAACAGTTTCAGTCCCGGGCGAGTTTAGGCAATATGTAGTGGCATTGGCTAATATCGGTATTGCATATTGTGAGATAGACGGGTGCTTCCCCGCGCCCCCCTTTCGGTGCATACGAAGGCATATATCTATCTACCAGTGCCGGATTAGATATGCCTGCAATTGCCGAAAGACCGAGGTGAAGCTGGCTTGGAGGGATTGATAGCAGGAAGAATAAAGAACAGAGCTTAGCTTCATGCATGCATTAACAATCACATCACTTGTGTCCTTCACCGATAAGGGAAAGGATATATCACATGATCTTCACATGATCTGAACCCTAATTTCATGAATCTCTTCGCGTAAAGGTGAAAACGCTATTGAGCCCTGGAGTATTAATTGACTAAATTATAAAAAACAATATGTGCATTGCGCGTCGCCAAAAACCTGAACTGATCCGGGGGGTATTGTACATGAAACCAACACAATTAAAATGAACAAATCGTCAAATCGTGAGAATAACTTCAAAGCTCCTCTTCGAGAACTTCGCCTCCAAGTTCTTGTTCCACTTCGTCGACGACAAAGCTCTCGTAGTCTTCGAGACCTTTTTGAACATGTACTTTGAAGCGAATCACGTCATTAAGCATTGTTTCGACGTTAGTGTGCAACTCCTCTCGAAGAGCATTTGCCCGAAGCGTCAGCTGTTCATATTCGATATTGGTGTTCATCTCGCGTTGCTCCATCAATTGTACACTGTCACTGAGTGTAGCACGCATCTTCGCTAACTCCTTCTCCATCTTCTCAATTTGGGCATCGGAGGCCAGCTTCTGAGTAGTCGTGATTTCCTTTGTTCGTTCAAACTCTTCTTCTGCTGCCCGGCGGCGATGCTCTAGAGCCTCGACCTCGCTTCGTTTCTCATCCATTGCCTCTTTGATGTTGTCGAGAAGATTACGGCGGTCAAGGTCATCATCAATCCCCTTCTTCCGTCGTTCATTGATTTCTTTCCGGAGTGCTTGCAGGCTGTTTCGGACAGAGCCCCGTAGATCCAAACTGAGTAAATGTGCCGGGTGATAGCCGGTGAAAGGCTCCGCCAATAGGCGATCCCCCTCGGGGGAAATTCGGCTCGGAGGGCCACCAATCTGGCTGGCGGAGAAATTGCTCTCATTGATATTCAGCCTAAGCTCATAGTCTTGGCCCTTGGCGTTTTCAGCAGCTGCGGGAATCAAGCTAGTTTGATAGCCAAGAGTATTGTAATTTTTCACGATCAGCTCCAGATCTTCTAGTTTCTGGCTGGCTTCCGCTTCCTTCTCCATGACACGGGCATGAGCCTCTTCTAGACGAGCCACGGTATCTTCGAGATTCTTCTGCAGACGTTCGCGCTCCGAGTTCATGCGGTCGATATCCTGGATAGTGATGCCTTGGCGATCAACACTTGCCTGAAGCTCGGAACGCTCAGATTCAGTAGCTTGGAGGTCGGTATCGGTTTTTTGGATCTCTGCATCGAGGAATTTGATGCGAGTCTCGTATTTTTCAATTTTGCCTTTGACGTTCTGGTTATAATCCTCAAATTTCCTTTTATCATCCTCCAAGATGCGGAAATGTTTATCCAACTTGGCAATGTCGGGAGCACTCTTCTCCACTTCCTCGATTTGGTCACGAAGAGCCCGGTTCTCCACCTCAAGTGCTTCCATTTCCTGCACGTACCGCTCATTGCCATGAGCGAATTCTCGCGACATGTTTTCAACATGCGGAATCAACCGCTTCTCCGCTGTATCATCATCCTCGTCTTCACCACCCTGCAGCCAATCGTGGTAGGCTTGAGTAAGGAAGCGGAAAATAATGCGATCACCGGTCACATCGACACCTGCCTCGGCGCAGGCATCATCGTACTCGCCGGACTGATAGCGATCCATCATCTGTGCTAATTGCATCAACCAATGTAGCATTCCAAGGAACGTTGACCAGTTCTGGCCACCAACGGCTGCGATTTGTGACTTCGTAATGCCTTTCTCATACGGGTATCTCAGCTGCTTCAGGATTGGTGGTACTTCGGAATCCATTGCTTTTTGGAACTTGTATCCTGGATCAATCCGATGGTAGAGCCATTGGAAGATATAGTTGAAATCCTTTTGGGTCGGCGAGCGAAGTGTGTTCTGTCCCAAGGAATGTTTCATTTCCAACTCGAACCCATGAATAGTCAAATACTCCAACAATTCCTGGCCAATTCGTGCCTGGAAAGATCGGTCTCTGAGAGGTCGCGGGTCTCTGGGAACACCGGCCACTGTGGGAACTTGAGTGAAAAACGATTGATGTCCCATTGGCCCTCCTCCCGTTGACGGTCGTGAAAATACACTGCTTCGGCGCTGAGGGTTCTGAGGAGGCGCCGGGTTGGAGGCAAGAGACCCTGGCGCGTAGCTTTGCCGACTGGCACTGGCCCCAGCGAACATGTTACTAGACACTGATCGGCGAACAGATGAAAGACCGGCGTCAGCACCATATGGTCCACCAATTGACATGCGCGTGAAATTGGGCTGCTGCGGGCGACCAGTGGAGCCCATTAAGGAAGTTCGGTGGTTTTGAGAGCTGTACGGGGCGTTTTGGAATCCGATAGAGCTTGCGCGCTTCAGTGCCGACTGTGGTTGGGGGATGGCGGAGAAATTTTGCACACTCCCGAGAGTCTTAATGGCAATATGAATTAGCCCCAAGCCTTGCGCTGGATAGGAGGGATCTATACTTCTCGGGGGCGCTTAATACTGAAAAGTCCAGTATCTTGCGACATGATGATAAACAAGCCGCGAAGGCGGCAATAGACAAGGCGATTCTTTTGACAACAAAATTTTTGATATGGTTGTGTATTGACAAAGGTTCAACGTCCTAGTGGGTTGCACCACAAAATCAGAGAGGGGTTTGATCTGTTGTTTGGCAGCCACGAGGCGGCGATGTAAACAAATGCGTGCCACTTTCAAATAAGGCAGGCGGTGTATACTGAAAGGAAAAACAGTTTAGCCGATAATCACGAGACTCCGGTCTGGGGAAGTCTTGGCGTTGGCGTGAGTTCCGAGGTCCAAATGGCAATTGCCGATGTGAGCATCGCATCTTCTCTCCCTTGTTCATCCCTCCTGCACTCAAGTGGCAGTCGACGTTAATCATAATGGCTCCACGCGAGGAGCTGATTGCTTCAGCTGTAAGTTGTCTATTGACATAGCTCTTATCTTCCGCTTTCGGGGCTACCGCTAACTCGTGTCCGCTAGATTACCTGTATGGACTACGAGACACGACTTGATGTGTGTTGACCGCTGACTTTATACCTAGTCCTTCAGGACCCATCGGTTGCATCTTCGCCCATTGAAAAAAGGGTCTCATTTCTTCAATCTAAGAACTTGACTCAAGAGGAAGTGGACATTGCCTTATCGCGAGTCGGCGAAGACCCGTCTGCTGCGGCCGCAGCTACAGCTTCAGCATCCCCAGCACCTAGCTACTCCTCACAACCAGTTCCTTACCGGCAACCACAGCCGCCTCAAGGATATGGCTATCCTCCATATAATCAATGGCAGCCGCCTCCTGAGTACGTTTGAGCTACCCATCGTCACATGTGTTTGAGACTAATCACATGAAAAGGCCACCCAAGAGAGATTGGCGTGACTGGTTTATTATGGCAACGGTAGTGGGTGGAGTTGGTTATGGATTGTATACTGTCACAAAGGTATACAGTGGCCTCCTCTCTCAAAACTAATGGCGCTGATCAATCTATCCAGCGTTATATCGCACCTTTGATCGCCCCACCGACACCTCCCCAGTTGGAACAAGATAAAGAAAACATCGATGAGCAGTTCTCACGTGCATTTACTCTGATCGAACAACTATCGACCGATACTGCTGCATTGAAGACCGCCGAGGAAGCCCGTACCGAGCGCCTGGATTCCGCTCTCAAGGATGTGGAGAGTCTTGTTGCTGATCTCAAGAATTCCTCCCGCCGAAGAGATGATGAGACTCGTCGCATTGGTGACGAGGTGAAGTCGTTGAAGGATGCCATTCCCAAGGCTCTTGAAGGCGCCCGGGAAGGTAATGAGAACAGACTGAAGGAGCTCGGAACTGAGCTTAAGAGCTTGAAGACCTTGCTTGGTAACCGACTTGGTGGTGCTGGAGCTTCCCCTGTTGGTGGTAGGACACTGGGATCTACTCCCGTCCCCAGTACTCCTCGCCCGGCTGCGGAAGAGACCTCCGCCGCTCCCATTGCCCCTGCCACTACCAACAATTTGGCTGCTACCGTAACCCCAGTTGAACAGGAACCAACTCAGGCCGCTACTCCAGCGAGCACAACCCAGAGCCCCAACCCCCTCTCGCAGCTTGGTCGGTCTGCTTCCATCCCAGCATGGCAAATGGCTGCGGCCAACCGGTCTAAGGCCAACTCGCAGTCAAGTGCACCTGCCACCCCTGCTGAAACCGCCGCTAGCCCTAGCGTGGAGCAGACTGCTCCTCCCAGCTAAAGATGATTTGGGTTTGCTGAATTATTTGAATGTATACCTCTTCGCCTAGATGTATTTACTACTATTGATATTTTGGATGAAATAATTGCCCCGTACATCAGCCTTTATTTCTCTAAAAAATTACAGTCGAAATTAGCAAATTTACGATAAAGAATTTCGTTAGATGTAAAAACCTGGGGACAACGAATCTTCGTTGGAAATCAGAAGCCGATAAGCCGACCTTGTCTTTCCTTATCATCCCAGACAAACTCCTCCAGACTTTCCAGAACCACTCAACTAAAGAAAATCAACCAAAATGCCTTCACCAACTCGCTCATCACATCGAGCTACCTCTCCTGCACCAAGCTCAAGTCGCCCTCACCGCAGCCGCCACAGCCGTTCCCACCGTCACCGACCCAGAGAGAGCTCGCGCTCGCGCTCTCCGCACCGATCAGACAGACACCGATCAGACCGCCACCACCGCCGTAGCGAAGACAAAGAGCGCGGGCACCACGAGCGACGACACAGAGATGTCCCAGCGAAACCAGTCGTGCTTCCTTACCAAGCGCGCGAGCTCTCAGGGCGCGACCTGAAGGTTTACGAGCCTATGTTTGGCATGTACTTGGATATCCAGAAAGGAAAATATATCGAAGACATGGGTGAAGATGAGGTGAGAGGGCGATGGAAGAGCTTTACGCAAAAATGGTAGGTTGGAGGGTGTTCTCTTGTCGCGATAATTACTTACATCCCAGGAATCGCGGAGAACTCGCGGAGGGGTGGTACGATCCCATTACACTCGACAAGGCACGTCGGAATGCAGAACGAGAACAGGAAGCTGGCCCGAGAGACGGACGCGAGTCGCCTGATTATACGCACGGCGAGCGAGCGACTGAAGCCCCGCAGAACCCGCCAGCAGGCGATGATGATGACGATGAGGATGAATACGGGCCTAGTCTGCCACAACCTGGTTCAGGGAGAAGCGGTCCACAAGCGGGCCCTGCGATCCCAACTATGCAAGATCTTGAGCTTAAAAGAGGTACGGGTTTCTACTTTCTAGATATGACTAGAGTGCTAACCTTCTTCTAGAATCTGCTATTGAGGATGCCATCGCTGCCCGCAGTGAATCACGCGATCAGTACCGCGCTGAAATTCGTTCGCATAAATCTGCATTACGTCAACTCGAAGACGAGATTGCGCCGCGAGCTGAGGCAGGTACGCGAGAGCGACAGCTCGAGAAGAAGCGAGAAGTTGCTGCGAGTAACCGTGCATTTGCGGAGCGCGGTGGTTCGCCCGACCCAGCTCGGGATGAGGATTTAATGGGTGGGGGCAATGAGCTTGATGCCTTGAAACGGGAGAAGGAGAAAGATCAGCGTAAGAAGAACGATCGTGAGATCCGAAGAGAGGAGATTCTTCGTGCGCGTACAGCAGAGCGAGAAGAACGTGCGCAAGCGTATCGACAGAAGGAACAGGAGACTATGAGTTTCTTGCAAGCTCTAGCGAAGCAGCGATTTGGCTGAAAATAAAAAGGGGTGTTCTGTTTGATCTAAATATCTTCAATACTAGATCCATACAATTAATATAACAATCTACTATACTTACTCTCCTCCGCTCCAACGGAACGGTCCGACACCGCTATCGGAACGACTCCGAGGTATTTCGATATACGATCTTCCCCAAACAATGTCAGGTTCCTATAAACATTTGAACCCAGCATGTACAAACACCTATCCCGCCTACCATGCCAGTCAAAAACGACCGCAGTAGCACCCAGTAGCCGACGCTATCTACAAACCAAAAAACAACACTCCCTACCAGCAGCATACTACCGCGGCGGCACCTCGCGCGCCGTCTTCTTCAAACAAGAACACCTACCCCCAAACAAAAAATACTGGGCCCCGATATTCCGCAGTGTAATCGGCAGTCCGGATCCCCATGGGCGCCAACTAGACGGCTTAGGAGGTGGCCTATCCAGCCTGTCGAAGGTGTGCGTAGTCGGCGCCTCGACACATCCCTCAGCCGACGTCGACTACACCTTCGTTTCCCTCGGCATCAAGAACACCGACGTCGACTATTCCAGTAATTGCGGGAACATGAGTTCGGCCGTCGGTCCCTTCGCCGTCGACGCACATGTCTTCCCCTTACAAAACCCCGATTCAGCCTCGGTACGCATCCACAACACCAACACAGGCAAGATAATTCACTCTTCCTTCCCTGTTATCGACGGCGAGGCAGCGGCTAGCGGTGACTTCGCTATAGACGGCGTTGCTGGTACAGCAGCTCGCGTCCGATTGGACTTTATCAACCCCGCCGGCTCGGTTACGGGGAAACTACTGCCTACTGGCAATGTGGTCGATACCATTGACGGGATCAGAGCTACGTGCATTGATGTCGGGAATCCGTGTGTCTTTGTGCAGGCGATTGAGCTTGGTGTGAGTGGGAACTTGACTCCTGATGAGATGACTGCTCATCCTGATTTGCTGTCGCGCTTGGACTCTATTCGTCGGCAGGCGGGTGTTAAGATGGGTATTGCGGATGAGATGGCGAAGGTTCCGGGTAGTGTGCCTAAGATTTGTGTTGTGGCTGCGCCTTCTACTGCTAGAGATGGGCTGAGACAGACGTCTGCTGAGGTTGATCTTTTGGCGAGAGCGCTTTCGGTTGGCCAGCCGCATAAGGCGGTGCCGATTACTGTTGCTTTGGCGCTTGCTGCTGCTGCTCGTGTGTCAGGGAGTACAGTTGCTGGGGTTGTGGATGGGAATCCTGTTGATGGTGCTGGGATTACGATTGGGCATGCCAGTGGGAATTTGCTGGTTGGTGCTAATTTTGATGTAAATGGAGAGTTAGAATCTGCTACGGTGTTTCGTACAGCCCGTCGTTTGTTTGAGGGGCGTATTTTCTGGAAGAATGATACCTAAGTGACTGGGTGTGCGATTGTACATAGAACTACATAGATAACTAGAACAAACACCATAGGAATTGTATAAAAGAAACAAAAACTTTTATTCTTGTACAGCACAAGTGGTATATCTACATCTATTCTAACTCTAAGAATGTCTGCCGAGATCAATATTAGCAACCAATTTCATATCATCGGTGCCAGCCCCGTCACCTAGGCCAAAAAATGGCTTAACAGCAACATCAACGACCTCCTCAAACAGGCGCCCAACAACAGCCTCCTTTAGATCCTCGCCAGTCTGCGCGAAATCTGGGTATGCGTTGAGTTCCAGCAACCACACCTCCCCATTAGCATCAACGAGGAAATCAACACCAAACAACTCGAACGCATTAGGCAGAGTCTGAAAATGAACCATCATACCCCGGGCCGCAGCCTCAAACACTTCACCCGTCACCGAGCAGATCTGCTCAAAGATCTTCTCTTTCCAGTCCGCACTGAGACCGGGGACGTGGTGATCAAGGTCCCAGAAGCGACGCACACTCTCTTTGTTCGAGCTACCGCCTTCCTGGAAACAGGTGTTGGTCAGATGGCGCGCGAGGTCGGCGACGTCGTCTTCTTCGTGCGGGGCGCAGTAGGCCTTCGCAGCGAAGAGAGCGAGCATCTCCTTGAAGACGTAGACTTTAAGTGAGCCCGAGGCGAGGACGTAGGTGCGGATGTGGAATTTGCGGTTCGAGGATGACGGGAGGAGGAGGGGAGGGTCGATATAGGGCTGTGCGAGGAAGTGGCGGAGCTGTGAAGTGACGATGCCTGTGTCTAAGGAGGCGCCGGCGTTGTCATCGTCGGCATTCTCGGATCCACTCTCGTCGTCTGAGTCTTCTTCCCACTCTTCGAAGATCTCGCGGAGCTGGTCTTCACTGTTGAAGATGCGGATTCCCTGGCCTCGATCGCTCATGCCGGGCTTGAGGATCCACCATTCCTTTTCGGAATCGGGTCGTTCTTCGTTCTTGGCTAAGCTTTCGTTCAGCTCGTACGCTTCTAGCAGGGCGTCGTCGAGGAATTCGGCATAGTCGAGTTCGAAGTCGAAGGCAGGCTTGAAGTGGTGTCGTAGGATGCTATCTGGGTGTTTTGAGATCCAATTGGCCACTGTATTTGAGAGGTAGTGCTTGCGAATCAAAGCTTTGCGGATAATATATGCGCTCGAGAGAGAGGTCGAGGGTCTGGACATGATGTGGTCGAAGTCGAGGCGCTCGTATTCGCGATACTGGAACAGCGGCGCGGACGAGTCTGGTAGTTCGGATAGAGAAGACACGCGCTTGGAGGCACTTCCCAGGCGACGGGTCAATGCCCGGTCAACCATTTCTTGCACGTAGGAGTTATCGCAGTCGACGAGGGAATACAACGAGGGTTGATTAGCCGATCTACAAGATCTCCGTCTATCAGAATGGGCGCCAATACTGGAAGAAAAGCACAACAAAGGGGAGGGGACATGGTATCTAACAACTAAGCCAGATATCTAAAGTGCATGCGACATGTAGATTTCGGATAGAACCCTTCCATACCATGCCCCCATTGCATCAAAGTCGTCACTCACAGCTTAATCTCCCCCGAGATACCGGGCGCGGGCATGAAGTTGGCCTTAAGAGGCGTGACGCTGTAAAAGGTCAGTCGATGTTCATAAGTAGAAATGCATTGGACAAACCTAGTCATTTGCTCCTTAACGGTCCAGCCATCATTGCCAGGCTCACTTTCCTCCACGCTTCGGTAAACATCCTGGAAGCTGGGCGCCCACTTGAAATGCTTGTGCTGAATTCGGGGTCCACGGGTTGACTTCTCCCCGGCACCGACAGTCTGGTCCGGTTTAGTTCCCGACACCTCGCCTTGGTCGCGCAGCAACTGTTCTTGCAAATCAGGGTCGTCCGCAGATGTGGGATCGACAGCCTGGAAGCAGCTCCCGGATTTCCACGTGTTCTGCAGCATATCGGTATATAAGACCTTGTTCTCACTGACACCTGGTTCAAGTGGAACATTGACGCTATAGAGGTGCACGCCGTCTGCCCAGTTCGCGCAAAGATGCTCAATCAACTTAACCGAATGTCCTGAGGCTTCTGCGATAATAACAGGGTCATGGTTCCGAGAGCTGAAAGCATACGACAGGGCAATTGAGCGGGTGCCGCAGCAAGCACCTTCCAACGCTGCGCCAATGGTTCCACTCGACAATGCGAATAGTGCGGTTGTGTTACGACCATAGTTCGGACCAGACACGATGACATCGACAGGGCCACGTTCTTTAAAGTAGTGATATAGACCGATCTGGACACAACTTGCGGGAGTGGAGTCGATCAAAACCCATTCATCGCCTCCGTCGTCGGGTTCACCATCACTACCTCGGGGAAGACGGTGTGTTGTCCCGTCTTCTTGGTGGAGCGTACCGGGGCGGAAGTAGGTAGGTTTAACGGATGCGCCTACAATGTGGGCTTTACCGATCCATGATCGCTGCTGGTGCGGGAGAATGACCGAGACCGTATGACCGGCGGACTGGAGCGAGTGGACGAGCGAATGCACATATGGCGATGACTGGTTTGACGGAGGACCGTCATCGTTGGTGACCTAGATAGAGATATAAGTCTCTATATTAACATATAAAGTATTAATCTACTTACCAGAATATGCATTGTTGGGTAGAAGTTGGTTAAGATGTGAAGAATGGAGGGGAAGAATGTTCTCCCCCGCTTTGCACTTGGGCCAGATCCACCTGCCACGCTATATCATATGGATATTACAACATACAACCTGCGCAGATCACATCAGACCACTTCAATGTCCTGCCAAATGACTCCGCCGTCTCTGTAATCCACGATCTTCTGGACTTTCTACCCCAGAACCTGTACCTGCGTCACCCTCAGCCGGATAGGTAGAAAGCAACCTTTCTTGCTCCTGATCCTCCGGCTCCTCCTTCTTGACCTCGGTAGATTCATCAGAAGTATCCCCATCCTCAGACTCCTCTTTAATAGGGTCTTCTTCTATCTTCTTGACCTCATCCTTAGGCACAGTCTCCAAAACCCAAGTCATCACCAACCACGTCAAGCCAGCCGAGAGCGTAGAAACAGACCAGAACAGCGTGCTAAACACAACAAAAGAAGTAATCTTCCATCGCCACATAATCCATCTGCGCATCGTTAGCAATATCTCAAATTATCCCGTTGAGAAAACAAACCTAAGCCCCGTAAGCCTAGCACGGAATTCCACCTGAGCAGTATAAACCTGCATCTTGGAGTCACTTTGAATCTCCAATCGCAGACTCTGCGGCAAGTTCTGCACTCCCTTCGCAAACTCAAGCTGCTCCATCATCGGTACCTCTAGCGTCTCCGATTCCCGATGCCAGCCAACAACATAGAGCGGCATACGCGCCACTCTGCGCGCAGTATCCACCAGCGGCGAAGCATAAGTCATGATAGCAGGGCGCCGGGCCTGCGAGATTGGGGCATTATTTGGACCGGGGAGGAGGGAGGACGCGGGGCGCGAGGAAAAGAGGGTGAGGTCGAGCATGAAGTTGCCTGTATCGAGATTTGAGGGTGTGCGTGGAAGCTCGAGGGTCACGGATACATCGTAAGGCTGGAGGGAAATGAATTCCGAGTCGAAGTTCGCTGTGCCCCAGGGGTTGCCATTGCTGTGCTCAAATTAGTTGAGCTGTTTGGTTGCGGGGGATGCTATCGTACCCGAATTGTAGATGGACTTCACGCTGTAGTCCGACCGTGGGGATAAACTTGAAATAGAAGACCCCATATGCAAGTGCGGAGATACCTGTTAGTAGTGCTGCGGCACCCATAAACAGTAGCGTGTTCAGGTATAGCCGTAATGCGGACTTGGATACCAGTGCTCGGAACGGTGTGAGGACCGCATCCTGTCTTGGGTCAGTTACAACTGGGAAACTTGCATCAATACACCCACCATGATGACGGCCCTGACAGAAGATGGGCCATATTCCGACTCTCCAAATTCCGAGTCCGCCATTTTGGGGGAATAGTTGGCAGAAACAATGGAAGTTGAGGTCTCTTGAAGCTTATCCTGTTATCTTCTTATCTGCCCTACATTCCCGAGGTCATTCATGGATATCCATGGATGCCTCTAATAACACCTTTTTCTTTAGCTGATAGTTACGTAGATTTGTAGAAAAATCCCATTTAGATGTGTCTATTCTCAAGCGAAGACGTGGTTCATTATCCTAAGCGGTACAGAAAATCCAAAAAGAAGCTACAATCATGAGAATAGTAAATTAGCATTGCCCCATTATGATGACACCGTCAACTCCAGCTTTTACAGTCTTATCATTACAGGTCGCGGGCGGCATGAGACGCGAAAAAATATCATGGAACCTCAAGTCATGCGGAAATCGTAAGAGAAAAAATAATATGCATGCCATCACCACGGCTAACCCCTGCCGTAACATGAAACTGAAAAGATAAAATGAAAAAAAAGACGCAAAGGACATCAGCAATTGCGGAAGAGAACCCCGTGAAAATTACATGCAACGAAGTACTCCTGTACCGCCCGAGTTACCAGAGAAAGAACCTGAGGAGAGAGGGAAGAAGAGGATGGAGGATGAGAGGTCGAGAAATGTCTAGGCAATGGGCCGAGGACTCTGCTGTTGGATATGTTGGAGAAGGGCATCGAAAAGACGGCCGATCTGAAGAGAAGTTAGTATTATGAGATTGTAGAAAATTGGGGGTTTGAGCTTACCTCAGGTGCCGCCTGAATGAAGGGGAGGCGGAAGAATGAGTAGCTCCGATTCTGGAGGAGCTCCTGCAGGGTGATGATCAGACCCCATGGATGCGGGCGGTGGACAATCAGCCGCTCCAACAACACACGAATGATTTGCTGGCGGATATCCGAGTCATCTTGCTCGGAGTAGTCCACGCCAAACAGACGGAGGATCGTGAAGCTAAAGAAGTAGGTATGACTGTTGGGATAGCGGAGCTGGTTGGCCATCGCACTAAGCAAGTAGTAGCGACTCTCAGGACGCAGAACCTGGGCGATCTTCTCTAGAAGAGCAGCGTGAGTCGAGTTCTCAAAGGCACTGCGGGTGTTGCCCTTGGAAGCATGCTCCACGGCGGCTTGTTGGCCAATGTACAAAACAAGCGCATTAACGAGGACGATATCCACATCGACCGGGACAAAGAAGAGGCCAGTGTCCTTAGAATCGGGGTTGATAATGGCGTCGCAAAGCTGCTGAACAGCAGAATCGGAGATGCTCTCATTCTGGAGCACACCGTCAACAATGTCCTTGATGTTGGCAGCCTGCAAAGGAGCAACAATATCACCAGCAATCTTAGGGATTTCCCGCATCTCCTCAATACGCTCGACCTTCAAGCCTTCGCGGAAAGGATCGGGAAGTTTCTGGAACGACGAGGGGTAGGCACTGAGGACAAGGTTGCGGAGCTGAGCGCAATGAGCCGGAATCACGTTGCAGAACTGGAAATGGTTCTCAGCAACGAACTCGGGGAAATCGTGATGCAAAATCAACAAGATACGGAGAACGCCCTTGTATAGATCCTTAGCAACGTATGTGATGTTGGCAGCCTTTAATTGCTCGCCCATGTAGGACAGCAATGCTTGGATGATTTCGCAGTAAGGCGCCCAGCCTGCACGGTCAGGCATGTTGAGCATGTCAGACATGAACACCCGGTGAGAGACCAAGCAAAGCCAACCATAGACGAACCCGGGTACGTAACGGGGCTGGAAGGAGAGGAATTTGCTAGCCAAGGCGAAGATCATTCCCTGGTGCTGCTCAGTGTGCTGGAGGCCGTTCATGGAGTACTCGCACAGAATACTGGAGAAGAGACGGAAGAATACACGCTGGTTGAAGGCTTCTCCTCTCATGACCTGGTGGTGGTTGAGGACCAGAACCAAGAGAGACAGAATGGAGTTGAAGTACGTAGCCTTATTGGCTTTGACGGCGCCAGCGCTCTCGCCCTGGAATCTGATGAGAAGAATCACGAGCTTAGCGAGGGCGTCGATGTAGAGGAAGGCTTCATCAAGGCTGCCGTTGGGGTTCTGAGACTCATGCTCGAACATGGCGACCGAAATGTCGATGCTGAGACGGAAAAATAGCGCAGAGTCCTCCTGGTTGTTCATCACTTGACGGTTGTGAAGGTCCTGAAGGAAAGAGTGGAAGGTACGGTCGGTTGCACCGGGGGCCTTGTAAATACCGATCCACTCGCTGAAGATATACTCCATTTGGTCTCGCTTGGACCTAGCTTGGTCAGTAAGGAGGGAGTTGACGACCTCCGGAATCCCGGACTCGCGAAGCTTGCGCACGATTTCGAGACCGGGAGCAACGGTTGGATCTTCGGCAAGCCATTGACTCATGGCATCTAAACTGCCAGAGAAATCCGATCGAAGGGCCGAGGGTTCTTCATTAAAGAGAACACGGTCCATCAGGTTGCCGAGCAACTCCAAAGCAGGCACATTCCTGGATAGAATGAGTCGGGTCAGGTTCGTATCGACCCGACGGATGTCCAGGAGGCCTGCGTCAATGAGAGCAACAGTGACCGGCACATTGAACATGTGCTCATCATCAACTTCGGAGAGCAATGCCCATGTGTACCGAGCAATGAGACTGGACATATCGCACAGCTTCGCAAGAAGGTGCACGAGAACTTCAATCTCGAGAGATCCATGTGGCTGGGAATACAAAAGCGTGCAAACCTTCAAAGAGGTCAGTCGTGCAAGCTCCTCTCCATTGGTCGAGGCAAGGATGCTGCGCAATGCCTGGTTGTATTCTTGGAGAACCGCACTATCTCTGCCAAGGTCCTTGACGTGTTCTTCAGGGGCGTTGCGAGCAGATTGCTGGAGGTCAGAGACGAGGCTTTCCACTCTTTCCCGGGGACTTTGAGCATCAAGGAACCCGTTAGTCTGAACGGGGGGCATTTGAGAAACAGCAGATTGTGGCTGAGGGGTTCTGTGGGGGATGGCTGGCTGCTCAGCCGGGGTAGAAAGGTTTGGAATGGCAGGGTAAGATTCTCCAAGCACGTCGGGGAGTTGACGGCCCGCCGATGCATCAGTGGATGGTGCCGGGCCTCGGGATTGACGGGCGAACTCTTCGTAAATGGCGAGTTGCTCCTTGTTGAGACCGCCAGGTGCTTGTCGGTAAGGCTCCGGAATGAACAATCCCCATCGGTTCATCGAAGGATCAATGAAAGGGTCGTTAGAGCGACTGGCCTGGTGGCGGCGACGAGCCTCCAATTGAGGCTCAATCACCTTCTCGATCTCAGGCAGCGACTTCTCCTCTGCAGCCTTCTCCACAATGCCACAGGCAGCATCCAGGTTATCGTTCACACACATAAGAATCAAGCCCTCGGGCATAGGCTGCTCGGAGTAGTCTTGTTGAATCATGCGAATGTAGTTGGTCATGCTAACCTTCAGAGGCTCTTTGCAGGTAACGAGTGCCAGGTTACCGGCAAGTTGTCGGACCATGATGCCCGCGGCATGGCGCACGCGTTCTTCATCAGGTTCCATGGCAAAGTCCTTGGAGACAAGCTGTACGGTGGAGATGGATGCAATCGTGACAGAGCGCTCAACGACGGGAGTAATGATCTCAGCAATGGCGCGCTCGACTGCGGTGTGCACAATCTGTTTGAGGATGACGGGATCGACCATGCTGCTCGCCGATGAGGGCAGGACAAGGATCTTGTCAAGGCTTGGCAGTGTTGACATGATGGCGGCCGGGGACAACCTCTCGTTGCGGATAGCTGGGTTGATAGCGCTGAGAGACAGGTCCTCAAATGGCTCAGCAAGACCCTCCGGGGCGTTAACAGTGGGTAATGGTTCCTCGGCGTGAGCAGCACGATCGCGAATAACAATTGCAGGTTCAATTGTCTTGTGGTCGAGATCAAGATCTTTGCAGAGGACTTCAATTTCGAACTTGAGATTGAGCTTCAGTTCGGCGAAATGATAAAGCTCCAACAGCAGGCCCAAAATATCCATCAGCCAGGGGTTGGGTGGCTTGAAGACCGTGGATTTTGTAGCCTGCACAAGAACTTTGCAGGTGAAGGGGATCGTAACCATTAGGCGTTGGGTATCGTAGCCTTCAAGAAGCAGGCCCTTGAAGTAGATGTTCTTGTGCTTAATAGGTTTGTCTTTGGCAATGGTGAGCGAACCAAGCCAAGCACCAAGGTTCTTCAAGTGACCGCGATCGGTAGATGAGCTCAAGGTGTTTTCTGAGTTGATCAGCTTGGCGACACTGACATAGGTCTCCCGCAGGACCTCGGCCCAGAGGATCTTGTCACCAATGCGCCCAAGAAGGTCGAGATAGAGCTGCTGGAAATTGGGCTGCAACTTGGCACGCTCTTCTACAAGGTATGCGGCGAACCACTGATGGTGTTGGTCACGCAACACTTCTTGTAGATCTTCAAGTTTCTCGTCGATGTTCTGCTCAGAAACATTGTTAAGCACGAAAAGAATCTTGTCCTGAATGTCTTCATCCGGCTCTTCGTAGAGTTCAGATCGAAGAGGGGGGTCGACTTGAACGGAACGGAACTTGCGCACGGAGCCATCAGCGATGGGGGAGTCAACAGCATTGCCATTAGTCATGGGCACAGAAGCAAGACCATCAAAGGGTCCTGCCTCGGCTTCCCCAATCTGGTTGCCTTGCTCGCGGAGCACCTCCTCTGCCTTTTGGTAGATGGGAGTGCCTTGAAGAGATGGGATCTGGAAGAGCAAGTGGCAGAAGCCAGCCCACTCGGGAAGACGGTTGATCAACTGCTCAATCGCTTCCACGCCGAACTTGTACATCGGATCGTGGGGTTCATGTTCGCGGACAGCCTCAAGGATCATACCGAGACCGACCTTCAGTGTGATGCCGTCAACGAGACGGAAGTTGATGATGCCACCAAACATGACCGCAGTCTTAGTCAGAGCCTCAAGCGGGTACTCGTGGTAGCAGTGGTATTCGTCGATCAAGCCGTGCACCATGCAGGCGAACAGATCTTGTTCTGTGGGGTCGCGCGAAGACT